ATTGGCTCATAGTTTCGTTTTTATCATCGTGTATATTGAGTTGACCATTTTTAGTTTTTTGCGCGTGTTTGTTGTAAAAAGGAAGTTTGACTTGAGTGAATCATGATTGAATAACTTGGGCTTGTTTTTGTTTTGTTGAGTTCATATGTGGGAACCGTACCCTCGGATTCGAGTTGAGTTTTGTGAATAACCGGATGATAATGAGAGTTACATGATGCATGTTTATTAATCTTGGACCATTCGATTCCTCCTTTCGAACTACTTGTTATTTTGTTTGCTTGAGGACAAGCAAAGAGTTAAGTGTGGGCAGTTGTTTATTGTGTTTTTGTCGTTATTTTCATGTGTTTTGTGTGCTTTATTATATAGTTTTAGGCTTGTTTTAGTGTCGACCATTCCATTTTATCGTGTTTTGTGTATTTTTGTTATTGTATAGTGTTTTCGTATTTTTTCGCGTTTTCTCTTTTGCTTTGGTGTTGAATAGGTCCAACGTGTCGAGAACGAGGAGACGAGCCATCCAAGCCGATCGAGCCGTCCGACCCAAAAAATCCAACCAACCCATACCGGGACGAAGAGAATTCAATGAGAAGAATTTTGGTCCAAGTTTCGTGCGAATCAGAGTTGTGTGCGAAAAGTTAGAGCGAAACGAAGTCGCGAAGCACAAACCGAGCCATGACCGAGTCCAGACCCACGCACCTACCCCCGCGCACACGCTCGGCCGCGCGCGCGCGCGCTCACGAGTGTCACGTAGCCCAGCGACCCATTCCGCGAGCTCGTGGAAAAATTCGCGACCTCGAGAGTGCTCTCCACTCCATGCCCGCGAGCTCGTGGGAAAATCCGCGACCTCGAGAGTGTGCCCTGTTGTGCCCGCGCCCCGCGCCCGTTCCCGTGACCTCGCGAGTGCTACACGCCCAGCGCCAGCGCACGCCCGCCAGCAGCCCTTCCCGCGTGCTCGCGAGTGCCCATGCGCGCCCAGTGCCTTGCCGACTCTCGACCTCGCGAATTTCATGGAGACCTCGCGAGTATTTTACTAAATGTACGTGTTTTTAGTGTGTGTTTGTGGTGTAGCTATATAAAGACATCTTGCTTTGTATTTTTGAAGACAACCCTCATTTCCCAACTTTTAAGTTGGGAATTCCTCTCTATTTTCTCTTTTTTTTTTTCTTTTCTTTTTATGCTTTGGTTTGGATCTTATGGATCAAGTTTTCCGGCAAATTTCCAGCGATATTGTTTCGAGTAAAGTTTCGAGCTTTTGACTCTGGTTTTCTTCCCAAGTGCGAGTGAGAGTGGGTACTTAGTCTTAAGCCCCATTACTTCGTATATCGTTATTTGCTTTTTGTGAAAATTGATATTGTGCTTGTGTTGCTTGGAGGAAAAGATTGAATCTTTAGATCGTGAATGCTTGACTAAGTGTGATTAGTAGTTGAATGCTTGCTCGTCTTGTGCTAGAGTTGGGTTTAGCTTCCTAGGATTTTAGCTAGCATGGAAATGTTCGGTTATTTGCGTGTGATTGATCATGGAGACTCCGGCAAACCAAAATTTCTCATTCCCCCTTGATTTCTCTCATCTTCTTGCGTGCTTAGTTAATTTCTTTCAATTGCTCTCATTTTGTAGATTAATCTAGTTTAAATTCAAACCCTCAAATTGCGAGTAGAATGTTTAGGACCTTTTCGGTTGTGTGATTTGACGACTAGATAGTGAACGAAGCTCCGAAGAGCCTTCCTTTGAGAACGACCCGAGTCCGGGTAACTCGGTTACCAATTGCCCAAAAATATTACAAACAACATACAATTTTTTGTGATTGAACCCAAAGCATTGTGGGTGCTCTTAATAGCAAACCTTTGAGGTTTGATTTTGTAAACCTTCCAAAACCTGCCTATTAAAGATGCCCCAATGGGGTTTAATTCGGTTTTTCACGAACGGACTAATCATACTGAAATAGGCGGCTAGGTCAATTACACCAGGATTTCACATTGCTTCGTTTCGTTTGCATCTTTTACAGTCGAGATTCTTCCTCAAAAAACTCGATTGGGATCCATGAATTGCAGCCGTAAACGACAAAGTCTCCGGAGTCAGATGGATCCTCTATGTTCTTTACCTTCTTTGTAGTCGGGTTGTCCTCATGAATGTCCACGTTAGCGGGTTCATCCATTTTCGTGTCCATATGGACATGATACGCGTAGTCTAAAGCCTGTAGTTGAGAAGTCATTTTTTTTTTCTTCAGAGAGAAAACCAAAATGTCACAGTTTCAGTCAATGAATTTAATTAAGATTTCTAAAGATTTTTTAGAACGTTAGAAATCTCGGTGTATTAAATTTAGATCTGTTAAAACTTTTAAAGTCTTGGAGTATTTAATTGGGATTTTAAAAAGTCTTGTATTTTATTTATTTGAGATTATAATTTGTTATGACTTTTTAAGATTTAGTGAGATTTCTAAAAAAAAAAGGCTTAAACAAAATCTCACTTCAAATCTCACCTCCAAACTTAGGATTTCATTGAATTTCTCCAAAATCTAGAAATCTTAACCAAAATCTAGAAATCTTAACAAATCTCAAATATTCTTTTCCCCGAAAAGATGGAGAATTTTATAAATAAAAACGCACAAATGTGCAAAGGTACATCGCCTAGTCGAATAATACAATCAACAACTGAAAAACTGGGAGGACGGATCCGGAGACCGCCTAGAACCAACATTAGCAACGCTAAAAACCAAACCACAAGACTCACGATAAGACAAACACAACAAAAACTAAGAAAAACTACAAAGCTCACAACGGGAGAATAAGAATGACCCAAACGGATAATACCCGCTCACACGCGGGCAAAACAGAAGTTAACGACCCAAACTAAAAACACAAAATCTAGCCAAATAACAAAAAAAATGGACAGTAAAAAATACAAACTAAAAAAGAGAAGCCTTTCCACGGCAGAGAACCGGGCTGGACCAGCAGAGTCATTAAGATCCAATCACCTACATTTAAAGTCCAATTAAACTTAATTCTCGTACTTTTTATAATTATAGTTAAATAATAGGCATATTGCTTCAAAAACCCTGATCTTTTACTAAATTGCAAAAAAAAATTCAAACATTCTTAAGTTTGCCATTAAATTGCCAATCTTTTAAATGTGTTGCATGTTAAGCTCTGATTGATTTTTCGACATCCTATTTGTTGATGTGTCCGGCGAATTGATGATATGTCCTGACAATAATTCGACGTGGCTTTTTATGTCTTAAAAGATACATACATTTATTTTTACTTCATAAATTGATAGTTGTGGAATGTATGTCGTTCTCGTTGCTTCTTCTGTTGATATTGGCTCTTAATTTTTTCCAGCTCCTCAAATTTGGTGATGAAAAATCTCGATTTAGGATTGTAGACGGAAAAATATTGGAAATTGAGGAGTGTGTAAGAAAATAAGGTCTTGATTGTTTATGAAATAATTTATTCAAAATGAGTTATTTTGGTTAACCATAGTTAATTTTGAAAAAGGTGTTATGGTTAGTTGTTAGTGAAATTTTAAGAATGTATTAAAATAATATTTAAAATAAAATGATTATAATTGATTTGATGTAAAAGTAAAAGATAAATGATTGGAAATGATTGAAAATGATAGGTAGTTAAAATTATGTGAGTGGATGAATAGTGAATTAAAGTTGATGTGATGTATAAGAATGATTGGTTTGTATTATTTAATTATATGAATAATATTAAAGATAGTGGGGTTGAGCTAGATTTTGAATTGAAATAAAAGTGAGTAAATTATTAGGTATACAATCAAGCTCTTAAGAAATCGAGGAGTGGAAATGAATATGTGTATGCTTGCTATGACTCATCACTTTGTCGACACATCAACAAGGAGGAGGTCAGAAAATCAACCGGAGCTTAACATGCAACACAATTAAAAGGTTGAGAATTTAATAGAAAACTTAAAAAAGTTTAGATATGTATGCAATTTAGTAAAAGAAAAAGTGTTTCTGAAGCAATTAGGCCTAAATAATATTAATAAATCATTTTCACACATTACATCCACTCATGTAATTTTAACTACATATAGCTTCCTACAATCTCTCTCTTACTTTTACATCATAAAATTTAATTACATATTTTAATAATATCTCCTATTTTTAATAAATGTCGTTTTGAAAAGTTGCACATTAGTTAAGAATATTTTTTTTGTCAATAATAACTTTATTTAATGAAGATAGAGATGAATGTTTTGAGAAAAAAATAAAAATCGAATATGAAAAGACGTACTGTATTTATTAACTAAATGAGAGTAATAATAAGAAATTATATACAAAAAATCGACATTTGTTTGGACAATAATTGATAAAGCCAAAATAACATTTAAAAAAAATATTATTTAATTTTGCATCTACTTTATTTTATAAATAACTCATTTTAATCCATATCCAATAACCCACAAATGTCCATATCGAATGACCCTCAAATGTCATTGAATTCCAATCCTCCAACCAATACATCTTAAACAAAACATTAAAAATTCATACATTATCTTTCTATTTGGTTAAAAAAATAATAAGTAGTAATAATAATAATTTCTTGCATTATCTTTTTAAGTTGGTCAACAGTTGCTTTTGCCCTCGAATTCAAAACCACCTTGCTTCGTAGATAGAATAGAATTGCGTGGCGGCCCATTCAGTCATCCACCAACACAAAACGGCTCATTCTTTAGTCGTTTTATCACTTTTTTTCACACCATCTGCGGCCGTTGGATTTGCCCAAATCCCACTTTCCAATTGGGCCCCACCTTCCGGTGCCAACTTGTGCTCCCAATTTTCATCATACTTTCCCTTTCTACCCCTCGGTCCCGTCCTAATTTACGATACGTGCCATCCAATTCCCCTCCTATAAATCCACGCTTTGACACCAGTTAGGTTTGCCAAAATGAAGAGCCTCAGGGCACTGTAAAAAAATACATACAAAAACCCCTCTCTCTCTCTCTCTCTCTCTCTCTCTCTCTCTAATTCACTTCAAACCATGGCGTCATCTTCTAGAAGGCCGACGGCTCTCCGGCGGTCCGGTCCTCTGTACATCTCCACCGCCTCAGATCCGTCGCCGTTCACGTCGGCATCGACCCCCACGTTTGCTTCCTCAACCAGCTACTACTCCACCACCTCCTCCTCCACGTCCCCCTCGGCCGGTTTCTTCGGCCACCGCCGCTCGGCGTCTCCCACGCGCGTCAGCCTCCACGCGCTGTCCCCGCTGCCGCCCACGCCGTCCGTCCGTTTCGCCATAGACAGATCCATCTCCCCGCGGCGTTCGATTGCGGCGGTGCCTTCCAGTCAGATCGTCCGGGGCGGCGGCGCCGGTGTCCCGAAGAGGACGTGCCTGTGCTCGCCGACGACGCACCCGGGGTCGTTCCGATGTGCTCTGCACAAGAACAGCTTCGGCGGCGGCGCCAGCCGGAACAATAACTCGGTGCGGTACTCCCCGACCCGGCTCAACATGAGGAGGTCGGCGATGACGAATTCTCTGGTGCGGATCGGCACGGTAGAGGGAGATCTGGTGAAGCGAGCTCTGGCGGCCCTGATCCGCCCCTCCTCGCACCAGCAGCGCCGCCGGGAGGACTTCCGGCCCCGTCCGAGCCGACTTTCGGCCATGTCCAAGGCCGACGATCTCTAATCGGAATATCAACGCGAAGCTTGCAGGTTTGGTTGTTTGATACTCAGATTTCTCTTCCTCCGCGGCGGAGGTGCTCCGATCTACTCGAAGGCTGTGTGAGTTCAGGTGTCCGGCGGCTTTTTTGTACACCGGCGGTAAAAACCCGTGCAATTTTGGATAATATCACCGTTGTTGTACATAGTGATATGCGAGGACATGTTGGACCATTTTAGAATAGCAATCCCCATACGAATATGGAAAACAAAATTTGATTTGAGTTTTCATAAAACTATAAAATTTAATCTAAAACTTTAAAAACTGGTTGGGATTTTGGATTGTTTTGGTGTGTTTGATTTGTTAATCGAGATCAATCCCATTCTCTTTGCAGCATTTGGATCAATTGCCCGCGTGTTTTGCCATTTGTGTAGTTCTGTTCAGATCAATTATCCGTCCACTGTGTGCCGCCGTTTTCCGTTCTCTGTCGCCGTTGCCGTTATCTGTGTATGGATTCATTTCGTCTCTTTCCAGTAGGTTCGTGTGAGGTAATTTCCGTTGATTCTTTTTATTTATTTATTTTATTTAACCTTTTAAGTAATTTATTTATTTGGTTAGTCACAGGTCAATTTAACCTCTTGTGTTAAGATTGTGTTGCAGCTTTTAAAGGGATGCAAAGTAAGGGATGCAAAGTATTGTTTTACATATTTTTTTTTTTTTAAGCCAGTCACGGTATCCAGGTACCCCGGAGCTATACCTCGATTAATTCGTTGATACACGAGTTGCACACATGACAGTGGTCGGTCAGTCTCATTTTCTATATTCACAAAATCCGAGACCTCTTGCTTTGAATGGGAAGAAGTTGACTTTGAAATTTCTTAAATTAAAAAAAATAAATTCATACATTGGCTTGGGAGGTGGTTGAAATTCGAGAAAGACCCAATAATAATTAATAAATCTGACCTGCGGAAAAAAGATATATCAGTCTATTGATAGTACTGGACCGTTAAGAAGAAATTTTAATAAAGTAAATAAAGAAAATTTAATAAAGTAAATAAAAGGAAGACCAAATAATAATGATTGAATCTTTCTTGAAAAGAAAAAAAAAAAAAAAAAATCTACTGGATTCTATTGATATTACTGGACAGTAAAAGGAAAATTAAAATGGTGAAAAAAAAAAAAAAAAATAAATAAAGGAGAGAATTGAAAATGAGAAAATGCAAAGTGAGGTGCCAGGCTGGACGCGAGCGGGTGTAGGCCCAGCCGTGTAGGCCCAGTGAACAGCCCATGATTCCAGTTTGAGAAAAGTTGATTAATTGGGCCCATGATTTTTCCTCACCACTACTACTTGCACGATCCTGACCCACGAACAAACTCGATATCGTAGGCCTTCCAAATTGGGACTTATTATTGATCTTATCCTTTAATTTCTCCATTCATTTAAAAAAAAAAAAATTAAAAGAAGAGAAATAATTTTAGTTTTGCTGAAAGTTAATATGAATTATTCAATGATAATTAACCTATCTTGTGAAGATTTTACAGTTGATTAATTAGGGAAAACAAATGATTGTATGAAGAAAAAAGAAAATCATATAATAGCATAGTCATGATTCATGAACACAACAATTATGACTCTTATTTAAGACGCGAGGAAAGGAGTGCTTGAGAGACAGCTTGAAAGTCGAAAGCTTGATGTTTAAGGAGAGAGCCTGTGGGGCCTTAAAAAAATCGAATCAATTATATATTCAAGGTATTAGTACTTCTATTATCTTTTTTAATAGAGATGGAAGTATTCAAACAAAGAATTTTGAAAAAATCAATTATATAAACTAGCATTGATACAAGTACGATGCCATGCATGAAGTTTACTACAAAAAATATTTTGTTAATTTAAATTAGATACTTAGGACAATATGTAAATCTATTGAACACAATATTTAATCCAGTAAAAATGTGAATTTTATTTATTTATTTATAGTATTATTTTTTAAATACTTGTTAATTTTTTTTGTAATTTTTGACTACTTTATATATATATATATATATATATATATATATATATATATATATAATATAAGTTTATAAGATATTACAAATGCATAAGATCATCTGATATTTGCTTACAAATTACTTACATGTACATATAAAATTTTCCGTTATCATAGTCTTATAGTTTTTTTTAACAATTTATAATTTGCACATTGCATGATAATTGACCAACTTTAACCCGTAATGTTTATCTTTATTTATTATAATTTTAAGTTCATGAAACACTAAAATATTTATAATTAAATTTTAATTTGTAGTAAATTTAATCCTAATGCAACATAAATTTTTCATAACTAAATATTTTATTTTATATTATTTATTTATATTTATTTCTTTAAATCATTTTTCAATCTATATAATGATTTAATAGTATCCATTATATATATATATATATATATTATAATTCCCTGATTATCAAGTGTTATAATTTAAATTATGATACTTGACTATTTTATTTACTTATTTTTATTTATTTAATAGTATATAATAAATATTATATTTATTAAAACTTAAATATTTTTTAATGTACATAGATATTTTTAAGGTAAACTTTATAATTTTGAATTGTACAGAACATCGAATATTAATTTTAATAATACATTATTTTAATTTTAATAGTATTATCATTATAAATGATATATTTAATGGAGATTATTACGGTTAAGTTGACTACATGTTAGAAAATTTTAGTAATATTTTAAACTATTCATTATGTTAGTATGGTTCAAACATAATTATTCTGATTATTTTATTATATATTTTAAGTATTTCTAATGATGAGTATGACTAATTAAATTAATATCTACAATATCTAACCGTCCATTTTCCAAACATTTCTTAAATTGTGTCAATAAATTACTATGAAATTAATATTATGATCTTATTGAAAATATATCTAATCATTCTACGGTAAAACTAGTTCATGTTTAACTCAATCATATTTAACGAATGTTAACCATTGAGTACAAAACAAATTAAATATCAAATATAGAAGAAAAAAAATTCGGCCAAAACCATACCAATTATGACAATAAGAATTTTCCGGATTCAATCCTTATAATATTTTTGTTCAATTCTAAAAGAACATTATATTGCCGTAAAATTTTTTATTTTATTTTTTTATTACAAGCTGTCTAATAATTTTTTTCTTATATACATTATATAAACAACCAAACAAAGCAAACAAATAATGATGCGAGTAGTATAAGCACAAATATTACATTTCAATTCTGCGGATCAACAATCTATTTTCAATTTCAACCTGATGATTGGATATAAATAAAACTATGATTGCATATTGAATTAAAATGAGTTACTTTTGAATAAAAATGATTTAATAAGAAATTAATTGAATATTTGAGTTTTTATATTAATAATATTTGAAATATAATGATAAAAGTTGACGTGATAAAGAAGTAAGAAAAAACTTGTTGAAAATATTAAAAAAAAAATGAATGAATGATGAATTAAAGTTGATGTAATGTGTAAGAATGAACGAGTGATATTATTTAATTATATTAATAATATTGAGAAGAGTTTTTAATTTGAATTTTGAGTAAATAATGTAAAAAAAATGTCCCACAAGGTGAAACGGAATTATTTTTGCAGCCATAAAAATGCCAAAGGTTATTTAAAAAGAAAAAAAAAAAAAATAGAGAAGTTATGGGAGGTGGGAAAGTGTGAAAGAAATCTATTCTTTTTTTTTTCCTCCTTTGTGGAAGTAAGGGTATACGTCTTCTTGATCTATTTAAAAATTAATTTATAATGTAATAAAATATAGTAATAAAATAAAATATAGTAATAGGCATACGTCGTTACCAAGTCTTGCCATTTTTCTGTCATATTACACGGTTTGGACATTATAATAGACATTTAGTCTTTCAATTGTGAAGTTGGGAAAGTTGATAGTCCTCTTTTTCGACTTCTCACAATTGAGTGTCTAAATGTCTATTATCTTGTATAAGAATTGTAACAATTAAGTAGATTCAGTTCAAGGGTCAATAATTTAACATTGTCATGTATTTTTTCAGAAAAGGATTTCATGGCTTCATAAGCATGTGCCCAATATTTGGGGAATTGTCCCATTTCGGTACGCTCTGCCGGACACGGCGCCACAACCGTCGTTTCTTTTTCACGTGCAATGTGACGAAAACAACTAATCTTTTCTCAGGGACTTCGTCACAGATTTTCGCTCCAGCAGCAAATCAAAACACTAACATCAATTGCACCAATGATGTCACGCCAATAGTTTTCATTATATATTATGTTTTCCACCTTCTATTAAACATGCAATAGCAGAAACAAGAGAACGCTCACACAAACTTAGGGCGTGATTGTATATGAATTCAACTGGTAAAAAACTAGGTTTTTTCTTAACTATAATTAAGTTTGAAAAAAGGTGGTATGATTAGTTGTTAGTGGATATATTAAAATAATATTTAAAATAAAATAATTAAAGTTGATTTGATATAAAAATAGGAGAAAATGATTAGAAGTGATGATTAGTTAAAATTATGTGAATGGATGAATAGTGAATTAAAGTTGATGTGATGTGTAAGAATGATGAGTTGATATTATTTAATTATATTAATAATATTGGAGATAGTGGGGTTGAGTTAAAGTTGAGTTAAATTTGAGTTTTTATTGATTCTTTTACTGTACAATTCATATCCAATCGCCCCCTTAGTTATTCTCCGAATTCTTACTCAAATTTGAGGAAATGAATGCAAAAAAAAAAAAAAAAGAAAAATATGCCGATAAGGTTGCAGTCGAGTCATCAACATTTGACATTTGTTTGATACAATAATCCAACAATTTTAGTGGTGTGAAAAGGGAAGTAGCTTTCTTGCAGTGTTGGATGATGGTTGAACATTTTGTACGCCATCACGAGGCTAACTTCGACAGTCTCCATTATGTAATATGCTTCAGGCCACTAACAAAAATAACGACGATACTACTTGAGATTGTATATTGGAGTCGGATTGCATGAGATCTTGGTGAAACTCAAGATAATGTTGAAATAAATGACGAGGAGAAAATCTTGGTATGTGGAACAGTGGAAGAATAGACGTATTGCGAATATTGATATGAAGAAGAAAGAAGTTGAATTGCGTAAAAGTTGAACTGGAGAAGATCATATCTGAATTGAGGATCTTGAAGCTTGTGTGTGGCTCGAGAGGTTGTGATGGTAGAGTAGATGTTTCGAACAATTGGTGCACAACAATCAAGGTTTTCGAAGTTTCATTACAAGTACTCGATGGAACGAAAAGCAGATGAAAAGGATATAACAATATTGTTTAATCATTTCGAAAAGGAATCTTGAGCTTGAAAAACATGTGTCCAGTATTCGAGAGAATTGTTCCATATTGTGGTTTCCATTGTCAGACACAACTCATCATCAACCGCCATTTCGTTTTCGGGTCAACGGTGATGTGAACAACAATTTAGCTCTCAGAATCCTCACCACTGATTTTCGCTCAAACACATTTTAAAGTTGACCATCAAATCAAACCAGTAACATTAATGACGCCAATGATGCCACGCCAAAATCTCCATTGTGTATCATTATTCCAACTCTCTCATACGCCTACAATAGAGCAATAACAGAACGCTCACACCAGATGACATACAGATTCTTAAATCCATGAAGTTTGTTGTTGTTAGTCTTTGTGTACTTTCTCTATATTGTTCTATTGTAGGCGTATGAGAGAGTTGAGAGCATGATACATAATGGAGACTGTGGACGTGGCATCATTGGCGTTATTGATGTTACTGGTTTGATTTGATGGTCAACTTTTAAAATGTGTTTGAGCGAAAATAGTGACGAGGATTCTGAGAGCTAAATTGTTGTTCCCGTCACGATTCACACGAAAACAAAACGATGGTTGATGATGAGTTGTGTCCGATAATTGAAACCACAATGAGACGATTCTCCTGGACACGTGTTTTTTCAAACTCCTGATTTCTGTTCGAAATAGTCAAATAATATTGTTATATTCGTTTTATATGTCAATTGCATGCATTTATGCACGTGTTTTGACCGACCCGCTGTTTTATCTATCATAGACATTTAAGTTCTTTTCATTCTTTTGTTTTCGAAGTGTAAAAAAAAGGGTGAATCGCCGAAACCGGCGGGTCAGGGCTGGTTCAAAGAACCAATAGGAATAGTCGGGCCGGTTACGGGCTCAACATTTGAGGCCCACCGACCCCCGGGCTGGGCCGGGCCTTCCACCTGTCCAGCTGTTGGCCAAGTCTAGGCTGATCCATGTGTATAGTTCTTTGTTCATCCTAGGCCCAAAAATTGCCCCAAACCAGATCAAAAGTACAGAGAAAAGTTTCCTAATTTATACTCTATGTTCCTGCTGAAGGTGGACATAATCATACAGACACTTAAGCCACAAGTCTAGAAGCTTCTACATTTACAGCTCATGATACTGCCAAAGCAAGCAAAATACCACAGTACCTTCTGTACCAATGAACCAAAATGTTTTCAAGCCCCATAACAGTAGAAAATATTTACAACATCCTATGAATGAATAGTACTCATCCCCATCCATACCTCAACTGCCTCCCGGCGTGTGAGCCTTCGTATACACCCTGTGCCGCCTCTCTCGCCCGTAGATAACCCAGAATACGAGGGACAACATAACTGCAGTAGCAACCATCACAAGCCCGATATAAATCCACTGGCTGTATTTTCTCAGGTCAGGGCAATGAGACCCGTTTATGGTTGAGAACGCCTGCCGAACAAAACTGCAGTCCTCGAGCTCGACCAGGAACGGGCCGTACCTGTTCAGCCCGTAGCTCACGTTCACAGCTGCCGACATCTGGTCGAACATCGCTGGCGTTAGTCGGCCCCTCGTCACGCAAATACCATTTCCCGATGTTTGGCAAACATATCCACTCCAAACCTGCATTTTTTCAATAAAATTTATTTCCAACATTTTTTTTCTTTTTTAACTAAAAGTTCATTTACATTACTCCAAATTTACGCACTGTTGTTGCATTGTCCAAATCGACTTCACTTGGGGAGCAAGCACGGTCTGTAAGGTCAGGGTTAAATGGATTGCAAAGGTTTGGCAAGAGAGGGCCCGACTGATTGTAGTAGAACGGGCCAATGTTGGGTGGGAAATTGTTGTTGGAAATATTCGTGACGACCATATTCATCAAGCCGACTAATTGGGACGTGACCTCCTTGCTCTTTGTCAGGGTCTCTTGGGCAGTTGCGTTATCCACACACGGCAGAATATCGTCTAGAGCCGTATGAGCAGTTGGGTTCTGAACCCACTCATTCATCGCCACACAACTATCTCCAGTCACGCTACAGAACAATAAGGTAAAAAATGCATCATAACTCGTTTTTTTTGCTGATAAACATAAACGAAGACAAACAGAAAAATAAATTTACGAATGAAATGAAATGTAGTAAATTGGGTTAGTTAAACATACTTGTGGAGAAGAAGAAAAACTCCACACAATATGAATGTTCCTGTCACAAGAATCCATCCAGTAATCACCAAGCTGCAATAACCAAAAGAAAGAGACATGAAACACACTTCAGATTATCGAAGGATAGATATTGTATCAAAGTTTTTCTGTTGTGGAATAGATATTCAACTCACATGTACACAGGAAACTGCAGCCCTAAGATTGAAAATGCTGAAAGTATCAAACGAACACCATAAGAATACGGGTAAAGTCAGGAGTATTATCAAAAAAAGAGAGATGAGATCAACCAAACCCAAGAAACGTCAAAAGAAGCATGACAGCAGAGAGTATGATAAGAGCCAATCTCCTGCAAGAACATTTAACAACATCCACTTTTTTTCTAATCAAACGTTAAACACGTAAAATAAAAGAAGAATAGTAATCTGATTTTGCTTTCACCTACACATATTCAATTACATTCTTGATCTTTTCAGAATTATCTTCCGTTTTACTGGAAAGCAAGCTAGCCGAGGAGTTTATCTTGTTTTGGATTTGATCAATGTCCGTTTGAACATTCGGAGGCAAAAACACTTGCTCCACGTTAATCTGCTTGGCCGCAGCAAGATATCCCGACACATTCCTCAGATTCTTGGACGTTGTATTCGCTTGACCGACAACATAATCCAACGTGCTTATAGTACTATTGTGAAATTTCCCTTGTCCGGTGTACAAGACTATACATCCAACACTAGAAACACAATACAATGCACAAAATCATATTCATTTTTCACAATGCAGGAGAGAGAGAGAGAGAGAGAGAGAGAGAGAGAGAGAGAGAGAGAGAGAGAGAGAGAGAGAGAGAGAGAGAGAGAGAGAGTACATTGCAGCAATAGTAAAGAGTGTGAGGAAAATGAGAGAGAGGGTATAGGCTACTCGGGAATAGCCATAAGGCTCTTGCCGGCAGCAGCAAAAGCAGCAACATATGAGAGTTAAGCAAAGCCCGAAGACCACAAACCATATCCCGGCCACTACAAAGGCAGGCACAGCTGTATAACCCACTGACTGCATTCAATAATGAATTCATTATAGAGATAATTTATCAAATACCTCAGCTTACACATCAATCACACTTACAAAACAAATTAAGGTTCACAGCAAGTCAGCAGCTGATCTTAAAGATTTCAAAATTTCTAAAAATACACTCAGTGACAACTAGCAACAAATCAATCACAATTGTCCCTAATAAGGTGATTCGAAGTTCTACATTTCGAGAAATTTACACATGGCCCTCGTGAGGAGAGTTGAGTTTCTCGCTTGGAACCTAAGTAGCTCTTATTAGGTCCATAAAACCATTAGAACTTAGTTATGCAAGAAAAAAAGTCAGACAACTTTGATATTCTTACAGCCCAGTAATGGCGGTCGCTGATGTTCCAGCCGCCACTATATCTGTTAAAATTGTTCAGAGGATCTTTTCTGTTAGTTCTCCTTGCAGCCAAAACCAGCGTTGAGTTCACTTCTCCTTCACTCGAATCACTACCGGAAAGTAACCTTTCTGTTCTTCTACCTACGGGTGTTCACGGTCCGGTTTTAACCAAAAAAAAACAAAGGAAATCTTGAGTCTTGATTATCAGAAAATATTCAGAGAAGAAAAAGCAAAAAAAAAAAAAGATATGAAATTAAGCAAAAGCAAAACACCTGAAATTTTGAAACTGGTAAAAAGGGTTTCTCCCTCGAGCGAGAACGAAAAGGGTAACGAAGAAAGAAGAAGAAGAAGAAAAATTGTTGCGAGTGAAAACATAAGAGCCCTTGAAAAGACCATCGTTCGTTCTGTTTGTGTGATTACGAACAAATGTGCTCTGTTTCTTGAAATTTTCAGTTCAAAATTCAAACCTGCAAAAGAGAGAGAGAGTGTGTGTATATGTGTGTGTGTGTGTGTGAGAGAGAGAGAGAGAGAGAGAGAGTATGTGCGGTTTTTTGTCAGACGCAGTGAAGGTTTGCACAAATAGATCTCTTCTACAGGCGCGTGAGAGAGGTAAAGAGGTAAGTGTTTTTTTTTAAATGGGACATGTGTCCCATTTTTATTGGATAATGAATTTCATTTATCATATTATATAAATTCAATTATCATTCATATTTTGTATCAAAAAATAAAAATAAAAATATCAAAATTCATAATTTTTCATTCTCTACAAATAGAGACTACATTTGATATTTTTTGGAACACAATTAATTTATCATTTTTTTACAATTAATTTATCTTATTAGAAGATTATCACGCAAATTTATAATTAGATGAATATGTTACATAGTAAAATGAACATGTTATAGAGTAAGATGAACATGTCATAGAATAAGATGAAAATGTTACATTTTCACAAATTAAATTTAGATGAACATGTTCTAAAGTAAGATGAACGTGTTACATAATAAAATAACATGTTATAGAATAAGATGAGCATGCTACATAATATAATGAACATGTTATAGAATAAGGTGAACATGTTACATGCACAATAAGGTGAACATGTTACATAAATAAAATGAATATGTTATAGAATAAGATGAACATGTTACATAATAAAATGAACATGTTATATAATAAGATGAACATGTTATATAATAAGATGAACATAATATAAAATAAGATGAACATGTTACATAATAAAATGAACATGTTATATAATAAGATGAACATGTTACATACACAATAAGGTGAACATGTTACGTAATAAAATGAACATATTAAATAATAAGATGAACATGTTACATGATTAAATGAACATGTTATAGAATAAGATGAACATGTTACATACACAAAAAAGTGAACATGTGACAAAATAAGATGAATATGTATTGTTTCAATCTACAATCTGTAACATGTTCATCATATTTGAAAACATATTCATTTTATTATGTAACATGTTCATTATATGTCAGTATAATAAAATAATTACGAAAAATTATGAAAAATTATGAAAAAAACGAAAAATTAGTTGTGTTCAAAAACCTATCAAATGTGGTCTCTATTTATAGATAATGAAAAATTATGAATTTTGGTATTTTTATTTTATTTTTTTAATATAAATAATTAATGATATTTTAATTTATGTAATATGTCCCATTTTTTAATTAAAAAAGAAAATTAGGGATGTGAACTACACTCTCCAAATTTCTCTAGTATTGGGGAGTTTTGGGAGTAAATGAGCGCGTGCAAATGTGCCCTGGCACACCTAGCTAGGTGTGCCAGGGCACACGGTACTGGAAAGTTTGAGGGACGAGGGAATCAGAGAATATGTCGGGAAAACAGTTTAACGTGGGAAATTATTATGGGATGTGTTTTACTGCAACTGGTGATGGTTATGTATATTATGTCCCCGAAATGCCCTTGAGATGCAGAAACATCGGTTATATGATGATCTAACAACATTGGAAATTTTCGCTTTCAATATGCAAGTATTTTTAGGGAGATTTTACGGTCACGGGACTCATTCCGTCGGGGTTTAAAATCGTTAGATCAACTATTCAAGACGGTTATATGATAGATCTAACAGTTATAAATCCCGACGGAATGGTTCCGTAACGGAACTGTAACATTTAGTTAAATATTTTTTATCTTGGACGGCCGCATTGAAAATTTTAAGGATAGTTTGAAAAACTTCTGATGTATCGTATGATAAAATTAAAGATAGTAGTTGGATAGGATAAATTGAAAGGTAAAATACAATTAAATGGTACATCTGTTGAATAGGTTAATAATATGATACTTGATCGGACTTTGAAAAAAAAAAAAAAAAAACCAGCAATTGTAATTGTAATCTAATTAACTCCTTGCAACCGTAGTCGATTCAGGGAAATGTACGGTCCCGTTACGGAATCATTTCGTCGGGATATGTAACCGTTAGATCAAGTATTCCCGACGGTTACATGATGATTTAACGGTACAAACTCCGACGGAATAGTTCTTTAATAACGCGTAACATTTCTTGTTTATTTAAAGACATGCAAACATTCTCTCTATGATTTGAGATATGATACGCATTTGTTAGAATATTAATTGGCACCGATAGGATTTTTTTTTTTTTTTGGTATTATTAGAAAATAAACAAGACAAATTATAGAAAAGATTACTTCACTGTGTTTGGACAAGTGGTCAAAATAATGTCAGATGTTACGGTCTCGTTACGGAACGGTATCATTTTTCGTAACGGAATCGTAACATTATCCCAAAATAATATTGAGTGCATGGCTACCCAATTGAAACGGGTTAGTTGAATAGATACCCAAAATTATTAGGACTAAGTAATGTGAAACTGCTCACCTGCCCACCGTGGGCAGTGCCCACTTTTTTGTCTTATATGAAAAACGTGTTTTGAGAATACGTTTTTCAATTAAATTTAATTGAAAAACGTATTCTCAAAATACGTTTTTCATATAAGACAAAAAAGTGGGCACTGCCCACGGTGGGCAGGTGAGCGGCACTGCTAAGTAATGACCTACTTTAGTAATATATATGGACTCTATTGATTATGATCTCTGATTAGGAAAAGCTTAGATGAAGTTCAAGTGAGGTTACATCCCAGAATCAATTGATGGAAGGAGAAGCAATTAATTAGGCTTATAAATTATTATTTTTTTTTTTATATAGACGATTTGAGACAACTCAAACAAATGATATTCTAACAAGACTTATTTAGTGCTGTAGTTAAAATTTGTGTTGCGCATTTTTTTTTTATATAAGTAGAGCGTTTTAGCACTCCTCGTAACTTTCACACGTTAAATTAGATGTTGATTTAAGCATCAGAAGAGTTGAATGAATGACTTCCAAATTAATATTTGGACGATTTTAGGGATGTAAGAAATATGTTTATGTTGAACCTTGAAGCATCAATTACAGTTGATTACAAGCATGGCTCTTTGACAACAAAACAAAATAAAAAATAAAAAATTGAAGTGTTTATAAAGCAAATCTCTCTTTTTAGGACCTTAAAAAAAAAAAAAAAAAAAAAAAAAAAAAAAAAAAAAAAAAAAATCAACAGAGTCAGTGAACTCAACCAACAAACCTAACAACAAATCATGGCATATGGGATTTTGGTTCGGACAAAGGACACTTGTTATGTATACCCGAGTGCTCAATTGGAGAAAGTTTGTTCTAAGAAGTTATAGATAATGAATTTCACTAGAAATAAGTAAAAAGATAAATTATATACTATATATTAACATCCGACCTGATAATCTGCATTACTCAAGCAAGACTACATACTCAACGGACAATTAATGGTATCAGCCCAACTCCTCTCACTTCGGTTTAAACCGGGACCGAATTCCGGCTTGATCCGAATCATAACCGGCTTGCCGACCAACAATATTTTATCCGACATCCTCCCAGCGTCACCGACCTGCCGTCCAAAACCGAAGTTGTCAAGATCAAAGCAGGTGACGAGACGCCTACACAACATACTCTCACACCACACATTGCATCATCATTGAAGTGGACTCAACTGTCATAACCGCCCACCAAAAAGCTCCTTTATCAAAAAGCAACCGTACTCGTCTCGGGAAACGAGTTCAAAAAGGATACTATAAATAGTAGATTCTTATTCTTGTACATGGATCGAATCCTGAACATATATTGTATACAAAACAACCCCGACAATTTTCACCTCGGTTCACTTCGGACCGGGGCCACTGTTATCGTGTTGATGCAGGATTTACGTTCATCTTCATATAAAACATTTTCTAACCCACATTATAAACGTTGTTAACAAACACATAACAACACTATATTCAACAAAATATGTGTTTTAGAAAGTAGCAGGTCACGGGCTAGGTCGTAGCGATAGACTAGTGTTGCAAAATGAGTATGTTGGTACAACGAAAAAGCTACCAAAGTAAATTTGAAATTTTTAGTTTTTACAATGTAATTGACAGTTGTTTTGTAACGGGTGAAATACATATATAAATCATATATATAAAACTATTGTATATCATGAAAAAAATTAATAATAAGTTCAGATGCATTTAATATTTTAGATAGACGTAAATTATGCATTTTTGCAGAAGTTAATATCATGTAGCATTTTTATAAATAATATTGGGAATTAAATTACATATTAACTGAATATCTTAAATTTTATAAATATTATTAAATATTTTTTGCATGTGCATCACACGGTGTGTACTATTAATTTAGATATAATGAAACATCAAGATAAACAATAATTAGTTAACATACATTAGATAATGTAAATTTTACAAAATTGCGCTGTTAAGTTAAGATAACATCAATCAATAATTAGTTAACATTAATAAAATAATAAAACTAAGCTTATTTTATATGGCATCTATAAGGTAGAATTTCATTTTATTTTAATAAAAAAATCATATTCAGTAAAAATGGATTTTTTTTAAGTGAAAATTTTAAGGTAAAATTATTAACCTTTTTATACATTAAAATAGGTTGAGCCAAATACCACAAATCAAATTTGTAATAAGTTAAAAGGCTATGATCATTAAAAACACTTCACCAATATCTTAATTTAGAAAGACCTTATTTTTTCTTCTTACTTTTTCTTTTTTTTTTTCTTTTTCTTTTTGACATGGTATCCCTCCCTATATATAAATTCAAAACATGTTGAGTTTAGGTGACAGATTCTCACGTGTTGAGCCTAAATGGCAGATTCTAACGCTCTGAATGCTGACATGGCAAAAATTTATACTTCGTGATGTTTTTATATTATTTTTACTCTGAAGTTAAATTTTGTATTAATAATTTTACACATATATTCATTAACTCAACACACCCATGTTGTACATAGGTATTGATACTAGTAGAGTGTTGAATCATAAATGTTTCTTGCTAAAAAAAAAAAAAAATGGTTAGTGAATAAAAGCTTGTGGAGGAATTAACAGTACAGAGTATCCCACATTGTTTAAGTTTTTAATATACCATATGCTAGGGCTGCAAACGAACCGAGCGGCTCGCGAGTCAAAGCTCGACTCGAGCTCGAGTTTGACCGAACTCGAGTCGAACTCGAACAGCTCGAGCATGAACTCAAGTCGAGCTCGAGCACGAATTTTGTCTTGTCGAGCGGCTCGCGAGCGGCTCGAGATACACGTTAAATTACTAAAATACCCCTTATTATATATATTAGTATAGGTGTTTAATGGTAATTTTACATTTTCTCTTAAAAATTTTCGAGTCGAACTCGAGCCGAGCTCGAGCATTTTGATTTCGAGTCGAGCTCGAGCCGAGCTCGAGCTATTGTTATTTTCTATCGAGTCGAGCTCGAGCCTAAAAAATCGAGCTCGACGAGCTCGAGCTCGAGCTCGAGCAGCTTGAAAAAAAAACTCAATCCTGCTCGATAAGCTCAATGCTCGACTCGGCTCGACTCGTTTGCAGCCCTATCATATGCAAAGACTCGTACGTACAACAAATCTATTACTTAAATAACTGAAAAAGATACCATTAAGTATGTAGTTTCACAAAATTTGATAACAGAGAAGTCACCTGAATTAATTGTATCATATTTCTAAACTGAAACAGCAAAAAATCAAACATCCATGTTCCAAAAAGGAAATTGGCAAGCTCAACATGAAATTCAGATTGCAAAAGAGCTCACATCCCAGTAAAAGCCTTCTTCCCACGACCCGAGGAACCAGCCGGAATCACCTTCAGGACATTGAACCTCACTGTTTTTGATAAGGGCCTGAAAGGTCATAATATTATATCATCAAAATTAGTGCAAGTTAAGGATTAGTGAAAATTAAGGATTATTCAAGACGCGGTACTAGCCTGCATTGGCCAATGATGACATGATCGCCCTCCTTAACGCGGAAGCATGGGGATATGTGTGCAGCAATGTTCGAGTGCCTCTTCTCATATCTATAGATAAACACAGAACAAAATTTAGACAAACAACCACAGCCAAATAGCAAATTCCCGAAAGCAACAAAAAAATCACACCTTTGGTACTTCTTCACCCAATGCAGGTAGTTACGCCTAACGATGATAGTTCTCATCATCTTTGCGCTGTGGCAGGTCCCCGCAAGAATACGTCCTCTGATTGATACACTGCCGGTAAACGGGCATTTCTTATCAATGTATGTGCCTGGAGTGAAAAATAAAATAAAGCTCCTAAAACAGTATAGCAATTTAGAAAAAAAAAATAAAAGGACCAAGTAGAGTAGTGGCATTTAACAGGAGTGCTCAATGTAATAGACTGATTGTACGGCTCAAACAAGAAAATCGATATAAGTCTGATTGCAGTAGACATAAACGAATCAAACGACGTAGAAATAATATATTTGGACCTTCAATGGCTTCTCTTGGTGTTTTAAAACCCAATCCAATGCTCTTCCAGTAGCGGTTCCCTCCTTTTCCAGGAGCTTTTCCTTTCCCCGATTTCTTTGAGCTACAAATATCATGAAAAAGATAGCATACATTTCTTCACTACCAACCACTTTGTTCAGATAAGAGCCGGCAAATAGAAAATCTACTACAATCATGAATAAAGATCAGCTCTGCATAATTATAATTTTACAGCTCCTCCACAACCAAGCTTTCTCTCAGAGCAAGATCCAATGAGATTAATACAGTCACAAAACAAACAATGCCTAATCATGCTCTTACCAAAGGAACACCTTCGGCTGCTTCAAAAACGCCTTTTCTGTCTGCAGTTCAATTAAATAAAAATAAAAAAAAAACGATTAATCGTGAAGATTATGCAACAGATATGCGTCGCGGTCTGAAAGATTGGTAATTAGGGTTGGTTAAGGAGAAGAGAAATCAGAGGCAGGGTTCTTCATACAAACAAATGATAAGGCAAATGATAGATTTACTGCGTAACAGTTTACAGTTAGTGAAAGAAAATGGAGCCATTTTTACCTGCTCCGCCGCCATGGATGCTTTGTAAGGGGCGCCTGTGGGCGAGTGAGGATAGTGAGGCACAGCAGCAGCAGCAGCAGCAGCTTGGAACCCTAATTTGCAAAAACTTCAAGAGTGAAGGTGTGAAGAATTGGGGAATCTGCCTAATTTAGTATCGTCGATTAATACGTGGGCCTCAACTTAGGAGAAATGTGTGTGGTGAAGCCCAATATAAAACATCCATTTTAATCGATACGTTGGACTAGGGAGAAAATTTATGTAAACTAGCCTAAAAGACGACAACAGTAATTCCGAACAATTCGCCCATGATCTACGTGCTCGGTCCCGAATATTATGAAAAATAGATAAAACTTTTTTATTTAGACTTAGTATCTGATTTAGATTTTAATACAAGTCTCGCACCCGAATCGGCTGGGAATCGTCTCGAGCTCGCCTTCCTCGCCGGTAGAAAGCGGAACCTGCACGTAACTCTCACACCGGAGGGATTTTCCGGTAAAGAGCCTCCAACGCTCAAGTCAGTTCTTGAGAAGATGAGTAGAATATATGAGAAAAATATGTGAGTATGAGAGATTGTTTTAAAATCAGAGTTTTCGTCCCTATTTATAGAGACGAGTTACCTGTTCCTCACGCGCGACTTGGGCGAGTCAAGCTGATAGCCCTTCTGCTCGTCTGTACGATTGTGCGTCTCCACTATCTTTGGTGTCATAAAACGCGTCAGATGCATCAGAGAATATCAGAGTTAGTTATCGTCGTGGACCACTCATTGTATGCCGCGTGTCATCTTTCCACGTGCTGAAGATTTCGCTTATATACTCTTCCATTCGACCAAGTCTGACGTGGTTACTGGACTGTCCCTAGAACGCTAAGTGGTCGACTCTATGACCCCGCTACTCGACCAGAGCCCAGTGAAGCATGTATTTGCCCACCGCCACGGAACCAACTCTTCTTTATCTTCTATTTCTTATCTTGGCTGCGGATGTCCAGTACGGTTCGGCCAGATCGCTGATCTATTTTACTCGGCCGACCCGACGAACCGGTCTAGTATATAATATCCCATATCATCTATTCTCCCCACTCTGGTCGAGTCTAAATGACTCGACCTAAGAGTAGACTTGGTCCATGTTGCCGAGCTCTACTCTGTTTGTTTCGACCAGCTGCCGCACCTCGACCATTTTTAGCTGTAACCGCCATTTTACCTCTTGTATTTCAAATTTTGCCATTTGTCCGCCTTTTTCAGACGCGTCCTCTCGTCTGTCAGGTGTCATCATTACGTCGTGACCTGTGCTGCCTTGATTCTCGCGTCCATTTTAACAGTCCTCCCTTGATGGCTATTAGATCTATCACTTCGATCCTGCGGTTGACATTTTTTCGCCTGTTCACCTATCCCTTGATCGTGGCCCTTGAAATTTCGCGATCCAAAGGTTGACGATCTCCCTTCTCACTCTCATCTACTATAAATATCTTGATTCCAACCCTTAGAAGTTTTTTACCTTCGAGCTCAGCACCATTCACGATGAGTAAGTTTTCTTTAATCTATGGATTTATGTCTATTAAGTTTTTGAATTTCCTCCTTCTCCTCTTCTCATTTCTTCCTGAGCTTCGCGACTCCGCTTCTCTCTTTCCCACTGTACCATCCTCGACTCTTCTTCTTTCGTTCGGTTTTTTGTTTTTATTCTCTCCTAATTTTCTTCTCTTTTCCCTTAGATTCCGCCACCTCGAGCGAAAATGACCCGGTACAGTGGGAAGGATATGACCCCTCCTTCTTCTTCCGCGACCCCTGGCTTTTCGAGCGACTCTGTGCAGGAAATCCTCCAACCTGAACCTATTAGCATTATCCGACCAACGGTTATTAGCGATAGTCCTGGTGTTAGGGATACCTCTGTTTGTGGTTGCATCTCAATTTTGCCATTGTCATTCACAATATAACCCTTGGCCTCTTCCCTGCGCATGGAAACCAAAGCTCCGTACTCGTGCACTTCCACAATGTCATAAATCGGATCTTCTATCTTGATTTGGGCTGTTGGCGGGTTGAGGGGCTGCGGCCTGGCAGAAATAATGGCCACTGTTAGGTTGAGGAGATAATCTAAGTCATCAAAGGGCCATTCACGATCCATGGTTTGAAAGATAGGGCCACCGATAGGTAGATGCAGTTGGCCGACCGATGGAGAAAAATACATGGCTGCAAGGAGGATAAGGTCATTATTTTACCTTTCTTAAATAATTGTAGGTTTATGCAACTAATCCTATTGAGTCGAAGAACAACTCGGTCAATGGTGCCTACAATCTTTATCGGGAAATCTTCATCCTCTTTTCCCCTTTTCTCTCTCAATAGAAATTACAGGATATCTTAATTGCAGTTTTGTTATTGTTTTGTTGTTATGAATCTTATGACAGTTGTATCTTGTTCTTTTTATATATAAATTAATATTATTAATTTTGTTGTTGTTGGAGCTGGTTCTTTGTGTTGCTATCATGCTAATGCAATTTTTTACTTTTTAAAAAAAAACCGGTTGCAGTAACAAATTTTTTGTGCTGCTTTGTCGATATTTTTATTGTTATGCTACTTATGTATGTATATAACCTATTGATCAATCTTTTTTATAGGGATGGTGCCTAATTTTTCTCTCTACTGCCTCCATCCCAATCCTCCGTCACTATCTTGATCTTCAGTTGTTTTTGCCTTCCACGAAGGCAACCGGGCTACTGTCGGTGGTCCGCCTTTGGCCGCTTGTACTCTGCCCCGATATTGCGCCTTCCGTGTCTGTTGCGCCGGCGATTGTGGACGGCTACCATGGCCAGATTTCACCTCAGTTCTAGGCGCCGTTTGTGGGCTCAGGTTGTCGGCTTCTCGGGTCTGTGGTGGATTTGGTCGGGGTGTGGTACCGTGGGCAGGAAATGGCTCGGGCGGCTTGCTGCGTTTGCGTGGTGGTGGCTGGAGATGTGACGTCGTTCTTGCCCTTTTCTTCTCTGTGCTCTAGTGTTGGGTCATGAAAGGCTGGTCTTTTTGTCATCCAGCTAGTGGTGTTAGCCGATGCAGGACAGAGGTGGTGCGGAGGGCTATTTTGGTGTTCCGGAAGCTAGGCTGCGGGTCGACTCTCCGGTCTGGTTCAGTGCTTGGTTTCAGCTTCGGTTAGGCAATTTTTGGCAGTTTCATCGGTCACTCGGGTTGTGGATCTCTCATTGGGTGGACTTTTGTTTGCTGGCATGGCTCGAATGATCTGCCGTGGAAGGACTCATTTTTTTTAAATGATAGAAATTTTAATAAAAACGCACAAAGGTGCAAAGGTACAACCACAAATTGAATATAGATAACCAAAAGCTGAATACAAGCAGCCAACAACGGAATAGATTGGGGGGACAGGACCGAAACCCGCCTAGGAAACAACCCTAACGTGGTAATACTCTGGACACACAAACAAAGCACTACGACACTAAAAACTTCTAAGGGGAGAATAAAAGATAAACAAAAACAACCCCAACAGGGTAATGCCTGAGTGTACGGTCAATGACTCATTTTTTAAGTTGTTGTTTTTGTTTTGTTTTAGTTGTGTTCTTTGTTCGCATTGTTTGTTGGCCTCTGTATGTGTTTGAGTGTGAGCGGGTATTATCCCAGAGGGCTCGGTAATACTCTTTTTTGGGAGCTCTGTAGAATTTGTTGTGTTGTGAATGTTGTGGTTTGGTTTCTAGCGTTGCTAGTGTCGGTTCTAGGTGGTCTTTGGATCCGTTCTCTTAGTTTTTTTTCACTGTTAGGTGTACCATTCAGTTAAGGGCTGTATTTTTGCACTTTTGTGCATTTTTATCTAGAAAATTCTCTATCGTTCTGATTTTTTTTTTTGTTTTTATTTTTTGTGTAGTTTTTTTTCTTATAAATTCATGTTGAATAAAAGAAGATGAGGAAGAAGATGCATAATAAAATGCAAAAGTTTATTTTTAATTTGGTAGTTTTATACTAGTCGGTATGAAAGTTGATATTTTTTAAATTCAATGTATTCCCTAACATTAATGGATTTTTTCATTAATAAATGTTAACTTGGACATTATGCATGTACTACACGGGTGTTGAGTTAAAAAATATATAATAAAAGTTATTGCTAAATAAAAATTCAGTATAAAAGTTTTGGTGGACTAATTGCTGAAAAAAAGAAGGAATTGACAGGACAGAGCGTGAGTTGTAAATCGTAATATAAGAGAAAAATATGGGAGAAAATTATAAAATTGTAAGATTGTTACTTGTCAAACTAAGAAGAGAAATTTGTACTAAGAGAAAAAAAAGTAAAAAATTAATTGTGCACTTATCAAGTTTGAATAAAGTTATTCATGTCTATATCAATCCTAATTTCAGACTAAATATGCATATATATACAATATTTCGAAATATAGATTTTCGCCATGTCAATATCTGAAGCGTGTGAACCTACTGTTTAGACTTAACACGTTTTGAATTAAGTTTTGAATTAATATGCAATATTGGACCCTCTAAGCCCAATGGGTGGATGATCGCGGTCCGTGTAATATGAGAAAGTTGGGCCACTACCGCGGTCCACAATCCTATGCGACATAGAGGCAGAAAGCATCAGAGTACAACTCACCAAGTGGGACCCACCCTGACTAGAGATGTTAAACGGGCTAGCCCTAGCGGTTACGGGCTAGCCCTAGCGGGCTTCGGGCTAAACGGTTCGGGCCTAAAAAGCCCGGATTTAAACGGGCTACCAATAAAAGGACCTAACCCTAACCCTAGCGGGCTTCGGGCTAAACGGGCTAAACGGGCTTTAATAATAATATTAATAATAGTAATAATAATAATAATAATGATGTATCAAAAAATATCAAAAATAAAAAGAAAAAAATTATAAAAAATTACAACGACTAATTAACGATTGTTTTCAACGGTATTTAGTATTTGCCGCTCTATATATACAACTACACATCATATATCAACACATACTACAAACTCTTAAATAATATTTTTTTTTTCAAAAGAAAAAAATATTCGAATTATTACTTACAATTACCATTTCACTACTGATTTTGTACGCATTGGAAATTTTTACGATATTATATCACTATAAATTCTATCACTATGTTTCATTTGTTAGGTATTTGTCTCATTTGTTTCCTATTAGTCGTTCTGATTGAATTAAATATTTTGGTGTGGAGTACAATAAGAATATTGTTAATAATTATCTTTCAAAATCAATATAATCCGTTACAGCTCATACTTATATGTGAAGTGGAATAGCAAGATTATAATATACAATGAATCTAAGAGTATATTACTTACTTGCTGTAAATATTTACAACGCCCAACTCAAGTTAAACGGGCCAGCCCTAGCGGGTTTCGGGCTAGCCCTAACGGGCTTCGGTTTAAACGGTCCGGGCCTAAAAAGCCCTGATTTAAACGGGCTACCAATAAAAAGCCCTAACCCTGTTTTTTTCCGGGCTAAACGGGCCGGCCCGTCGGGCCAAGGACCATTTAACATCTCTAACCCTGACCCTCTGCTTCGCTTTTTCACAGTAAAAGATGAAAGAAAAGAAAACTTTACATACTCGCAAGCAGTAAAGATCGACGGCTGTACTAATCCCTTCGTAAATCGATCCAACGGCAGAAATTGCGCGGTACATTATACGCGCAGCATTGGTCGCGTACCGTCACCGGTACATCCATCAGACGGACTGTACTTTTTAGTTCCCCACACACACACACACACACACACACACACACACTCCCTCACTAAATGCTCTGCTGCATTTGTTCGCATTAGAGAGAGAATACATACACACAAACGTCTGTATCTCTCTCTCTCTCTCTCTCTCTCTCTCTCTCTCTCTCTCCTAAGAGTCGAGACACCCACCAACTCGAAGCTCATTTATTATCTTTTTTATTCGAGCTTATTTGTTGATAATGGCGGTTCTATTGGTAATGGCGGAAAGTTGAGGTTATTTCGCTTCTTCGCAAATGGAAAATTCGCGGTACACCAAATGTGCGTCCACGTGGCAGCCAACGGCGCCGCCGCAGCTGGTGGCGTCTCCGTTGCGTGGTTCTTCCGCTCAGGTTTCTTACACTGAAACGCGCCCGAGATGTTTTATCCTTTGTGTTCTGTGTTTCGACAATTGGACTTTTTCTTGCATGTTCTTTTCATGGTGAAATTTGTGAAGGAATTGTGGGATGTTCTTTATCTATAGCTTGTGGATAGCTCATTTTTAATCTGATTGTTTAAAGAATTGTTTTTTTGTTTTGGGTTAATTCTAAGGAGAATGACCCGGCTGCCCCACTGAGTTTGGGCCCGAGTTGCAACTTTTCAATAGTTTGCCTGTATGGCTGAATCCTACTTGTAACTGAGTAAGGGTTAGCAAGACTTCAGCGTTAACTTATTTGACAATATTTCCTCGTGTCTCAAAGGAAAGGAGGTGGCTATTAAACGTTACTGTTTGCAATATGGTTCTTCTAAGGCAATGTTTGGTCTTGTAGCTGTTATGTTTGGTTGTTACTTGTAATTATTTGTACTGGAGAATGTTATGATCGTTATTCAAACTATATATGGGTGTAAAGACCTCAAGATTCACATTAACGGATATGAATTCAATTGTCTATGGCGATTGTTAGTTCCGCTAGGCTAATGTATTAGAATTTCGTAACTCTTCTTTCATTTGCAGGAACCTATGTCACTGAATCATGAAAGAATTCAGGTGCGCTCTCCCCCAAATCCGCCTGACCTCAATGCCAATCTTGGAGTTTCTATTTCATCATTTCTTTTTGGGAGCTCATCAAATGTGTCCAGTGATCTGCAGCATTTATTGGGTCCAAAAGCACACCCTTTCTCTAGTCAGGTTTCACTAAGCCAGAATACCAATGGCTTTTCTGCTGGAAGTCGAGTTTCGGAGCTTTCCGGTGCTCTATGGCCGGTCAACATGGACGGCCAGAGTTGGTTATCCAGAGAGGTTTCTTTCCCTCTTATGCCATCCAATTCTATTACAATCAGTAGCAACAATCCTGCTGTGAATCAGGCTGCAAACTTGAACTACCAGAAATCACAGCCTGTAGCATGTCAGAATCCCCATGAGAAAGACAAGGTGAAGAGTTTTTCTTCTCTGATTGACTTCGATAATGCTGGTCCAATCCCTGCTATCAGTTGGAAGCCCCAGAAGAATAACGATATAACAGCTTTGTTGAAAGCTCCTGTTGTACACCACCATAGCCATAATCTTCCTAGCAGTTTCCCCCATGTTTTCTGTTGCGGCATAAGTAAGTTTTTGTTGTTCTTTGGCTGAATGTGTCTTTGGTTGCATGTCATATTGATCTGCACTAACTGGATGATGATTTCGAAGGTGGAAATTTACTTCTCAGTGATACTGGGCTTCTTGGAGTGGTTTGTGCATGCCATGGTTTGTATATGTCGATCTCCAAATTCTCAGAGGTCAGTCAACCTTCATATTTTTTATTCTTCTGAAGAAAAATAAAAAAAGTACTAAACTGAAATTCTTCAGCAGCATTCGGGTTTGAATGATTTGGATCCTGGGAATGCAGTTCGTATGAACAATGGAGTGACTATAGCTCATTGGTGGAAAACATTTTCTGGCAGATGTGGGGTAGGTTAATCAATTTTTTTTTTTTTTTTTTTTTTTCTTTAGTGCATATCATATGCATTTTTCTGACATTCAAGTGTATATTATTAAATAGGACATATTTTATCAATCCATTTGTTTAAAGTTTCATCCGCTTTCAACCGACCACTACGTAAAACTTGAGCTATCGTTCATATGTGAAATTAAAATCACACTGATATGATAAGCACACTTTCTTTTGTTATGCTTTAGCTTAGATTATTAGAAGGGCGCAAAAGATGGGATTGGCCTGAAGGAATTTCACCAGCTTCTGCTTCGACAAATCATTCTATTCCCAATAACTCGAACAACTCTGTTTCATGGAATGAACTTTGCTCTTTCAAGACTTCAGTAAGCTCTGACCAGCTGCAAGGGAGTGTATTGAATACAAAGGGAAATGGGAGATTCCAAAACATCAGCCAGGATTATGCACACCGTGAGGGCAGGAATTCTCAAGAATGCACTAATTATGCTTTCAAGCACTTCATTAATGTATCACAAGGACACCTGCCGCATGCATCTGATAAACAGATGTGGGGAGTCGAAAACCCTTTTGACATGAACATTGAGAAAACTTCTCACTCCAGTAGAGCCAAATTAGACTCCGTCTATGGAAGTACAAATTCTTTGCCTGCTCTCCCCAGTACACAAGACTTCAAAACACCATTTACTGGATTTGATATCAGAAGAAATACTTGTTCTATTGTCGAGAGGCTAGGAGTTCCGTCCAATACTGAGCTGAGACTGGGCGAGCCGCCAGGGCAAAGTCAGACATTGGAGATTAAAACTACACCATACTTTGTATCTAATCTAAATGGCATGCATGAAAAGCCCCCAAATGTGCTTTCATCTGACAAGCTTCCACAGACAAGTATGTAGATTTTCTTTTTTCACTTGCCTTTGTGTTATTGTTTGATGCTGTCCTAGTGTTGTCCCTCTTTCCAAACTTAATTCATGGGTTGCTTTTTTTTAGGTAACTTGCTTAATGTACGTGATGCAGCTGGTAATAAGTTGCAAGTTAGTAAGTTGATTCTCCAGAATGCTGGTATTGCATCTAGTCCTATTGAAAGAAGAGAACCTACTCAATTGGAGCACTCAGGCCATGGTGGAGGAGCCTATGGCACAATAGCTGATTCTAGAAAAGATTCATCCAACAGCAACTTCAGAATGACTCACCTAAATCCTCCGGTGCTCTCGTGCTTAAATAATCCTGAGACCAAATGGCAATTCAAAAGTATATATGGAATTGGTGGCAATAACGGTACTGTCAACACGAAACATCAGTCTGAACCTCATGTTCCCATAAGTGAGAAAAGTTTGTTTCATTGGGGTTGTGTAGCTGGTAATATTAAGGAATCCCATACCATGAACAAGGGTAAAAAGCTGGAGTGTGCTGCAAATGGTTATGATGAATTCTCGAACATGTATAAGGAAGATCTGAACATTTCTAACCCAGTTTTAGGCGAGAGACATTTGTTCCAGTCATCTAACAGGATGGCGAGAGACAACTTAAACACTTACTTGAAGATTTCTTCTCCTTCTGATGTTAGGCAATTGAAACATGACCAGCTAAAACCTCTCCACATTTCTGCAAGTTCTAAAGAATCAGCATATATGGAGTTCACCTCCAAAAGTCCACTTTTTGGACAAAGAACAGCTCCAACAGTGTCAAGGGATGGTTGTGGAATAAAACCAAATCTGCAGAATGAGAAAATGCATGTTCCTGGTGTGCATAATATGGTGGAGTTATGTGATGGAGATAATGGCATTGCTTCTATCAGATATACCCAAGCCTGTGATGTGCACAAGAACCTTCATCTACAGACGCTTAAGACTATCTCCCCATCTACACCAAAGGGCTGTGCTCCATTGTTTGATTCAATAAGAATGCCGAAAATTCCTGAAGTTAAGGAGCAGATGATGTCTGGTCCAATTTGTTGGGTATGCAATGGAGATGAAAGGCACAGTAACATCACAGGTAACTGCACCCTATCACATGCTATTACTCTAGTTTAGCCTATTAAGTCCTAAAATATCTTATATTCTCATCAGAAAGGTCTCAGTCCACTACAGGAGCTTGTGATCTTCCTTCCCTGGAGCAGTTTTTTGTGAGGTAGCGATTATTGGCAAGCCTTATGACTTTTTTTTGGTTACTGAACATCCTTGAATCTGCTCCTGTCCATAGATAAATCAATGTATTGTGGCAGAGAAGTACCAGTAAACACCTCCAAAAGGAACTCTTTTTCTCAATAAATATGTATATATTTAGTTTTTAACTAATCATACAATACAGACACAGCGAAACTGATTGCAACTGGACTCTTAGCAAGAAAGGTCAATGCTCTCACGGGTCATCACCAGTACCTGAAAGATGCATCTCTGCCGTTCAAGAAAATTGTTCGATGGAGAAGTTTGACTCCAGAGGTGATAATTATTGTAGCTTGGTTGAAGGAGCTGGAAATGGAGCTATCACAAGTTTATTACACGACAACCATGTTTTCCTGAAAGCGAGCACTAAATCTCTTCATACTACTAAAAATTTGGTTCCCCCATATGTTAAGAGCATCAAGTCTCATCCTTTTCAGTGGAAAGATGTGCCAAAAAAAGTGAAGGAGAGTTGCAGCTTGACAAAGAAAGAACTTGAAGCTGGTCCTTTCAATACATCCTTAGGAAGCTCTGGTGCCGATGTTTTTAAACGCTTTACTGGATGTGCTCAACACGTTGTACCCTTGAAGGATCATGATGTGTCAATTATCTCTTCTAGATGTTCTGCTCCTAATGTGGCCCAGTCATTCATTGAGACTAACAAGAAAGATTCTTCTACTGCCGAAGTTAGGGGGGATGTGAGATTTGCAAATAGCCTTATTCCGGATGAAGAATCAAAATATGACAGAAGCTGGTCGTGTAAGGATGCAGTTGATAATGAAATATGTGCTGAATTATTCAGTTCTGCTTCTAGAATCAACTTCACCAAAAGAGGGCCATTAGAAGTATTTCCTAGAGAACCTTCTCTTGGTCTCATGGAAGATATTAGGCATCAAAGTTTATGTAAATCTGAGTACGTTCCACACCAACCACACAAGCTCAAGAGAAGCTCGATCTTAGAGGAAGAGTGTGAACACAGACAAAAGTTTGATGAGGGGTCCGAGAACCGGAGGAGAACAGTAAACTCCATGAAGTTGGATGCACTAATTACTGTCTCCTGCCAATCCTCTATCAATAACAATTCTCCAAAATGTACTGAAGAAGTTGGGCAGAATATTTATTCTCTCTGGAAGGTGCAAATGCCAGATGGACGTGATGAAGTCAGTCCCAGCAGTTCTTCCAAACAGCTGGGCACTGCATTTTCTGCTGCCAAAGGATCGTCCCTCAGCAGAGAGTTGAAGAGAGTAGAGCAGAACGAATCCGAGGCTGATAAATGTTCCATGGTTGATGAAACATTAGAAACTTTTGAAATGGTAAGGAAGAAGAGGTTAAGATTAGATAATGCGTCTGTTTCGAAGAATGGAACTCGAGAAACATGCTGTAGTAGTACTGAATTGACTACAGAATTAACATCATTGGGCAGTCATTGTAATTCTCAAGGTAAGCCTAATGTCCCCAAGAGGATGACTAGGCCTACAGTGTTTGGGGAATATGGAATCATTTCTAATGGAAGTCTATCAAAACCAACAAAGATTGTTCCCCTTAGGAAGATTCTCAAAGCTACAGCATCTCCTACAGAAAATAGCAACAAGAATGCCTGCAAGAATGACAAAGAGGACTCCATATTCGTGAAGGTGAAGGAAACGAGTGCCCAACGCCTGAAGGGAATAGTTTCAAGCAAGAAATTTCCAAGGGGTCGAGTTAAAAATCCTCTACCAATTGAAGCGGAATCTCTACCAATAGAAACAATTGGAAATGATGATCTGTCATATACTTTGCTGAAAAGCAATAACCATGATATTAGAGGCAGCAAGTTTGGGGCTGATGTGAACAGGATGCACAAAGAAGGTCGAAAACGCAGCCTTCATGAACTCTTAACAAAAGGTACTTTTGGTGAGATTTGCATTCCTAGCTCACCAGAGAAGTTTTGGTCTTCAGGTTATAGTACTCTTCTGTTTGATACAATCTACAGGCCTTCTTCAACTTGGACTAGTATTTGAAATAGCTCTATAAATTTGTTCTCTCTGTCAGATCATCAGTGTTATGTTTTTCCCATATTGTTTTTTTTTAATTCTACCTCAACTAAATTTGTGATACATGTACTAGTATTTATTCTAGCCAATAAACTTCAGTCGTATCTAATTTCATAGAAAACTTGAATTTTATTACCATCTGATACTCAGGTTTTCCCATTGAGATTTAGTATAAAAATCTTGTGGATGTTTCCTTCAAAAGTTACAATTTCTTAGCTGTAAATCTGTCCTTAAAGAAAATGTATTTTTGTAATTATCTTCACTACTCTTGCAATTCATATTGTGGATGAGTACTTAACCTTTGTTTCATCAGCTTCATTTTTCATTAAGCACCTTATCTCACTTCAATTATTTCCTCTAGGGAGTGACTTCAAATCTGTTAGCCCTTCTGCCATATCTTCGTGCCGAACACCTGGCAAATACTGGGAAGAGAGGGTCACAGATGCTGTAGATAGTCATAGAGTTCAAAAAAATGAAGTGAACAATGCTAAGAGGTGCATAATCATTGCTAATTTTTAACAGTGTAGCTTAATTTGTACTGCAGTGATAACAAATCATGAAATCAGTATTATATCCGGTGACCTAGAACTTTTGGAATGGTGTAGATGCTCGAAAAATCACCAGCCTGATAAATTTTGCCACACTTGTCAGAGTTCAGACCAAGATGGATGTGATAAGTTAATTGAGTCCACCAGGTCCTTAATTAAGGTATGCATTGCGATTGTAACCTTTGTTCTTTTGCCGTATTCTTCACATTGTGATGTCCAAAGCCTGCTCAGCATCCACAGCATGCCATGTAGAGGCCATGCTGCTTGCTTCATTGTTTTTAAAATACCAGCACTCAGTACCAAAACTCAAATGTATTGCGAATCTGAATTTAATTGAAGACACTGGTAGAGTTGTTAAAACTATTTTGGCCAATAACTAATAAATTTTCTTGACAAACATTTCCCTTAACATGGAGGATTATGCATTTCAAAACTTAGTGTTTGTCATGAGTTCCTTTTTTCTAACAACCTTTCTTAAAATATTTTGTAGAACTTAAAAGTGTCCATTAGCGAGAGCAGACAAATTTGCATGTTGGACTTCCTAATGGTTATGGCCGTGTTAATGTTTGTTCATTGATGAAACTGGATGGATAATTATGTGGTTCGTAATGCCTTCAAGTGCTCTAATTCAATTCCGCTTGCAACAGGGGCTCCATTGTGAGGCCAAAACTATTGATGCTACGTCTCACATGTTTATTACTAATGATGATAATGGAAGTGTTCTGCCTGAAGAGAAATCCTTAACCTGTGCACGAGTTGAGGTATCCAATTAAGGAAATCAGCTGAATATATCTTCTTAAATGAAAGCTTTTTTCTTTCTAATGTGTAACGCTTTGGTCATTAGGGTTACAAGGGTCGAAAACGAGAAGGTTTTTTGCATAATCAGCCTCCAGATGCAACTGGACATGCCGGTTGCCTTGTTCCACAAGAGCAGCTAAATGCGTGGATGCACATTCATCGACAAAAGCCACAGAGAAAAGGGCGCCCAAAGCTCCCAAGTGCTGTCGTCGAATCTGACTATCGGGTATTTTATTTTATTTATTTTATTTTCATTTTCAACTTTTTAGTTCATCCAGAGAGACACCAAAATATAGTCATGGTCTAATAATTGGTTATTCTAATGTTAGATATTCTCTTTTTGCAGAAAGCCTATGCTCGCCATAAGCATTCAAGAGGCTGGAAACATTTGGTTGTATATAAATCTGGCATACATGCTCTAGGTCTCTACACATCTCAGTTCATCTCTTGTGGAGCAATGGTTTGTTATAATGATATTCCTGTTTTAGCTTATTTTTCCCCTTTTTTTCTTAAAAAAAAAATGTAAAAATGCAAAATTGTTGGTTATAAAAGGCTCAATCTAGTTGTTCTCTTCCTAGGTTGTTGAATACGTAGGTGAAATAGTGGGCGCTCGTGTGGCAGACAGAAGGGAGAACGAATATCACTCAGGAAAGAAAATGCAACATAAGGGTGCTTGCTATTTCTTCAGGATAGATAAAGAACACATTATTGATGCAACTCGCAAGGGTGGGATTGCTCGATTTGTCAACCATTCATGTGAGGTGAATATTCCTTATGTAGTAATCTCCTTTATATGCAGCAGTTTACGTACTTTTATCTTCCAGTAATTGAGGCTGAGGTTGATTTTGAAGTTTGAACCACCAAATTGTCAATTTCTCCTCCTTTGTATCTCAATGAGTATCAACATTTGCCTTGTGAACTCATCTTCACCATCCTTTTACGACTTACATAATTATATGCAAATCTCATTGTTCTCTGAGAAATCTTATTTGAATTTTCCTGACTGGCTCTTTTTCCTATTCTGTTGCTCGAGCAGCCAAACTGCATTGCCCGAGTCATCTGCATGAGGAATGAAAAGAAGGTAATTTGAGATTCCTTAACTTTGCTTTCGGAACACAACTCTCTATAACAAAGAGCTAGACTATTTTATTTCAAATTTTCCTCATTTGTAACGAGCCGTTTTTATTAATGATGTATATAGGTGGTCTTTTTTGCTGAAAGAGACATATACCCGGGAGAAGAGATAACGTATGATTACCATTTTAGCCATGAAGATGAAGGTGAAAAAATCCCTTGCTACTGTAATTCCGAGAATTGCAGGCGTTATCTGAATTGAGTGACCCTCAGCTCTGACAGGTCTTTTGTATATGTTAGGTTATCCATTGAGACCAACTCCCAACTGTTATGGTAATCTATCTTTAGGCTCCTAACGTAGCAATTTATTGTATTGACTAGCAGTGTACATGTAAGTTATAATGCTGCATTATTTATCATGCTTCAATGTTTCTTCTCAACAATGGAAAACTGGAGACAGCAAAGTTACAAGTCAACACTTTAATGTAGCTTGGAGTAAACAAATAATGAGAACAATGTATATAGGATTTGTTTCAAAGGGAACCATTAAAAAAAAAGGCAAATTTGCCCCTAATATTACGACCTTTCTCGAAGTTGTAATTTTATCATGACTTTTTTACTTTTGTAAATTATATCACAATCTTTAGTGTTACAAAGAATGAAAACAGTCATAGAAAAGGTGATGTAGTCGAACAACAAACTGAAAATTGTGATATAGTTTGCACGGAATATACAAATCGGTGCACCATTTTGCAACAAACTGAAGATTGTGATATGATTTGCAAAAGTTAAAAAATCGTGATTAAATTGCAATTTCTTAAAGAGTCATGATATTGAGGGCAATTTTGCCTTAAAAAAAAAATTGTAGTTGTGCATCATTTATTTCTAAAACATTTTAAATAGAAAAACAAAAGTTGAATTTTGCATTATATTCCTTTTAAGTGAGTATATATACTTCTAAACTTGCTAAACAATAATATAATGCTTGTGTAGAAGTTGATTGATGCACATTTACATATTCAGTGATGCTTAGTTAAAGGGATACAGACATTGATTTCATTTCTATAATCAATTTACATCCCTTAGATCTATGTATATGGATACTTGTGATTAATTTCTATGATCTCATTTTGTGAATGGTTTCCATTTACACCACTCCACACACACACACACACACACACACACACACACACACACACACACACACACACACACAAACTAGAAAAAAGTGCTTGGGCAGTGAGAAAAAAAAAAAAAAGTGAAAGAGGATGGTGTTATTCTCTTCATGATTTACAAAGTCCCACCCAACCATCCCATTGATATGTATAGTAAATAACTAGCACAGAGAAATCCAAATGCAAATTAAACAACAGAATTTGAGCCGGAAAAAATCAAAGGCAGCTCTTGCGTTCAGTTCATGCGAATGAGGTCGGATTCTTGTTGGTCTAAACTAGCGAGTTATAACTGGCACAATTGTTTACAGAGAAAACTTGTGTTAGAATTTTTAGGAACCCCAGTTTGGAATATTGGCAGTCCCCTCGTTCACCATCTTCACCAGTGTAACCTGTCATGTCCCAAATTCACGTGTAAACTTTTTTTTTTTCTCCCATTAAGATGATCACGAGACCATGAAAATAGAAACCGCAATCTCTTGATGCACCCACAGATATTACAAATCACAAAGCCGAACAAACAAATATGCATTAGAGGCAAACAAATGCTTAGTTCCAATCCGTGTGGTCACTGTATTCTCTATTTCCAAATGTAGGCCATCAAACCTATCGTTTGATTTCCACACCAACATGATGGAGGAGTTCGCCGTCATCCTTGATCTTCGGTTCTCGACCCACCTCATGAGATGATAGAGGCAATTTTTGTGCTCATATTTTGTGTTTTTCGTTTAGGGAAATGCCTTTTCGCCGCTTTCTGCCTTGCTAATGATGCTAATGATCTGTTTGTTGTTAACAGCTAAAGCTTGTGGAGTTGAGTACTCGAAGAATGAGATATTCTCTGATTCATGTGGACATATTCTTGTCATAGAGGTATCATAGAGGTTTATGTCTCTACTCTTCCAGGAAGCAATATCAACTTCAAGTGCTTATAATGATCCATTCAGGTAAAAGCATCATATTTGTGTAATATTCTTAATTCTGGTTAATAACAAAAATTCTTTATACTTTTGATCGAAATTAATTACGTAAATTGAACTGCAACTCTACACTTACCAGATTCATTCGACGATTTTGTAACTGAATTTGGTTGATGGTGTTCAACGGCAATAAGAACATCAAAGTGAACACTTACCAGATTCATTCGACGATTTTGTAACTGAATTTGGTTGATGGTGTTCAACGGCAATAAGAACATCAAAGTGAAGCTGGTTTGTTCTGTCCTATTTTCTAATTTTTGCATCCCAATCACTCTATACTTTTGTGTATTCTTGTTCTACATTCAATTTTGTATTTGGATTTTTCATGGGCTTGTTGTTTTTTCGTGAATTTTTTAAACTAGGTTTCATCGTGTGTGTGTCAATGACAATGGGTGTTGTTTACTAGTGTGCAGTTACTAATGTGTCATCATAGACATAGGCTTGTATTAAACGGACTGAAATAAAAATATACGGAACGTGAGTCCATCAAGCAGTATCGAGTGAGTTTCCAGTTGAGATTATTAAATAAGAGAAGACGAGTTCTCCACCCCAAGCATGGGCTGCCTGCAGTAAGATAGGGCACACGAATAAGGTTATAAGAGACGACACTTTCCAAATGTGTTGTGCTGCGTTTATGTAGATGGATCACTCTCAAACAAAAGGGAAGATCTTCAGAGAGGAAGTATCGTCACGGATGCCGACGACCTTCTCCAGCATGAGCATGGACTTCTCAAGACTGTAAACACAAAGGTTACCCTCGAGTCCTCAAGAAATACTTTATCATTCTTGTAGAGGCCGACGACCCTCATACAAACAGCAGGATTAGGATGAAGGAATTCGTGTGTGGAGTCATGGTGCCAGCTGCCCTTCTTCCATACATAAATCTCGAAAACAAAAGGCACACGGTTCTCCTCTGTCTCCATCTGCTTCTGCTGCTTATTCTTTTTCATACTTTTCTCCTCCTGTCCATTATTAACGAAAACAATAGCAGCTAGCAGCCCATCCAACTCGGCAATGCAAACACAATCACATGTGATGTCCCTGACAATTTCGCTACTGGGCATAGGGATGACAGCAGGGGGGAATTCCTCCTTAGCAAAGTCGAACGAAATAATAGCAAGGTCTTCTTTGGTGGGATGCTTTGCTGTCCAATAATAAAAGCCATCAATGAAAAGCGACGGGTCCTGAAAGACCTCCCACTGAAGATCATGGGGATACGGAATTTCCTTCCAAGTTTCAAACGAAAACAGCTCTGCGTGGGCTTCCTTGCTGGAACGAAAATACTCAAACATGCGACATCTCACCACCTTATAGTCCACACGTGCACAAGGATCAAACCCGATGCCGTAACCCCACATGCACTCGAAAACTGGGTGATGCATGCGCGGCTTCGCCCTAAAAAAAAGGAAGTTTTACAGGCTTGCCGGTCCTTGGGTCCCACAGAAGCACCTCAGGATCTGAGGGAATTTCAGTATATTCCCACAGCATCCATGTGTTGCAACTCGCTAAGACATGATATTTTGCATTCATAGAATCTTCGATATCGTAGTCTTCAGGTACGAGTCGAGACAAGTTTCCAAGAAGATTATTTTCATCATCGTCTTGTAGCAGCACTTTGAACGAGTTGTTGTTTTCCATTGATATTATAAAGTAATTGCGGGTCCAGTCAAGTACACACTGCACCATAAGCATCAGACCATCGCAGTTGTTAGGTTCCAAAGCGCGGGTATGCGCCCGAATAGTAGCAGGAACACCACCATCGAGAGTACAAGTGGAGCTAGACGAGCAATTTTTCCACGAGGATTTGCGGCTGGGTTCGGCATTGACAACGTAAGGGAAGACCACCAGACGCATACCCCCGCTACGGATACCGAGATTATCCAATGCTTTTGTTTGAACGTCGTAAACCCATAGGTTACCACAGGACCTCTCAAGAAGCAGTTTACGCTTCTTGTATAGTCCCAATACTCTTTTAACAGAAGCATCCAAAACCGGGATTTCCCCTCTGGACAGGCAAGACCCCGTGGCGGAGGCTTCTTTCCACACCCAAATCTCGAAACCAAAAGGCTTCCTTTCAGCAGAATCAGGAATACTAGGTACTTCCATCTTCTTCAGCCTACCACCACGTTTGAAAACAACAGAAGCAAGCGACGCATCATACTCAACAAGACAAGCAGTGTCACTGGATACACTGGCATTGGGGAACTTATCGCTCTTGGGCTCGTGGATCAGAGCCCCAAACCTCTCCTCAGAAAAGTCGAACCTAACAATGAAACCCACTTCAGTTGGCCAATAATAAAAGCCATTGATGTAAAGAGAAGATTGTTGACATGGACTAATACGCAGGCGAGGACTCGGAATTTGCTTCCACGAATCATTTGCGGACGACAACAGCTCAACATAGTTCTCCTCTTCGATACAAAATTTGTCCATCACGCGAGATCTCAACACCTTCCACAGTTGCCTTGCAGGATCAAACATGAGCCCGTAAGCCCAAGAGTCCGACAAAATTGGGGAAGCCAAAGCAAAATACGGAAGAGCTATCTTCTCGCCAGTTGTGGGGTTCCACAGAAAGTCAAATTCAGGATTTCGGGAACATGACAACAGCATCCATGAGTTGCAAGTTGCAACAACCCTATAAAAGGGGCAGAACGTGAGACAGTAGTCATCTTCTCTGAGTAGATTCAGGATCGCAGCACTTTGAAGTCGTCGATTTTACTTGAGATTAGGGAGCAATCGAGGGTTCTGTCGTCATGTAAATGACGAACCAGAAGCATCAAATTGTCATTGTTGCACTGTGGCTGACCTTTATCGGGAATTAGATGTGTGGTGGTGTTTGAGACAATCCCGACATCTGC